ACACCCCCATTTTAGCTCTGAGCAGAGTATCCCCAAAGAATATCCTCTACCCTTCCCCTCTGGGACCCAGCCCAGCACTTGCTTCTGACATTTCTCATCTGCCTCTTATCTCCATGTGTCCCCATCCCACCCTTCTCAGGAGCCAGGGGAGGCAAAGTAAAGCTTCTGGGAAAACCTGTTCAGATGCCCTCTCTCAACTGGCCAGAAGCCCTACCCCCACCTCCCCCTTCCTGTGAACTGAGCTGCCTAGAGGGGCCGGAGGAGGACCTGGAGGGCGGGTAAGGATGTGCCCTGTTGCAGATGCCCTAAACAGATGGGACCAGTAGGGGGAGGGCAGAGGTGCTGGGAGAGGAGGGGAGAGGGCAACCAGAAGGCTAAGTGGAAGCTGCTCAGTCATGGCTACTCTCCTTCCTCTTTGTCCCCAGCTCAGAGCCAGAAGAGTGGTGCCCACCAATGCCTGAGAGGAGCCATCTGGCCGAGCCCAGCTCCAGGGGAGGCTGCTTGGTCCCTCCATCCCAAGGGGAAGCCCCCTCTCCCACATCTTCCTATGGACAGCAGTCCACAGCCACTCTTACCCCCTCACCTCCTGACCCTCCCCAGCCCCCCACTGACATTCCCCATCTCCACCAGATGCCCAGGTAGGGAGGTATATAGTGCCTTGCACATTATAGGCCCTGGGTGCATATCTATTCTGCGGATGGTTGGATGGATGGATGGATGGATGGATGGATCTGGGGTACAGAAGGTCTCATGACCGTGTCAGAGTGGAAGTGTGATTCCGGAAGGAACGTGATGGCGGACAAGGTCTCTCACTCCTTTCAGACTGTTTCTCCATTGGAGTGGCTCTGCAAGCTTCTCGGGGCATGTCAAAAACATGGCTCTCCTCATACTTCGCTAGCCTGGGAGCCCTGTGGGGGACAGCCTGTGCCTTATTCATCAGAGTACCTGGCACGGGGCCTGGCACATAGTGGCACTTAGAGTTTCTTGAGTGAACACACGCTGAGGCCTCATGTCATTGCAGGAGGGTGCCCCTTGGGCCAAGTTCCCCTCTCAGTGTGTCCCAGCCCACTCTGAGTAGCCACGAAGGGAGGCCTGCTGGCCCGGGTGCTGGCCCCAGCCCTGTCCCCAGTGCTGCCGGCAGAGCCCCCGGTGAGTCTGCAGAATGCTCAGCCCGCCCCCACCTCCCCATATCGCCCCCACCTCCCCATACCGCCCCCCCAGCCTTGTTTCCTCTTCACCCTCGAGCCCCTTGCCTGATCCTCTCTCTTACCCACTCTTCTCCCCGTCTGCTGATGGGACAGGGAGAACCTGGCAGGTGCCCGGGGAGATGGCTCCTCCACTTCAAGGGCCCCGCGCCCGAATCCGGAAACCCAAGGCTGTTCCCTACCGTCGGGAGCACAGTCCTGGCGGTGAGGGTGCCCTGGGCCATGAGAGATGGTGACAGTGGGGGGAATAGGCAGGAAACCAAGGGTGAGCTCTGGGGGCTGGAGAAGGGAGCAGGTGAACCCAAATCTTGGGCCGTTCAGTCACAGCCTCCTGGTGCCGGGGAGTAGGATCGGGAGAAAGATCGGGATCAGGAGGGGTGGGAGACTCTGCTGAAAACAGGTCTCTCCCCAGACTTGCCCCCACCACCCTTGCCGCCACCAGAGGAAGAGACGAGCTGGGCCTTAGGGCTGAGAGCAGTAGGCAGCATGTCCTCCTTGGAACGGGAGCGGGAACGCAGTGGGGAGAGGAGAATGGTGCAGGCTGGGCCCCTGGGGGCCCAGCGGGGTCCCCACCTGGATGGTAAGGAGGGCCAGGGCAGGCCAGAGGCTCACTGCCACACAAGAAGGTGGCACTGGAGGCTGATAGTATAGTATAGACCGTGCCATCGAAGGACTCTGAAGTTTTCGACCCAGCTCACACCTCACCCTCAGTTGGGTTCGTGCATTTGATCCAAACCTACACTTGTCTCTGTAGCTCTCTCTGGGAAAAATCCCCTGAAGTTCCCCAGTTGTAGAATTTCCCAGGACTGAAGCCCAGATGAGAGAAGAGTGGGGCTGGGTGTTCTGTCTCTCCTTTCCCAGGGCTCTTTCTGTCTGGGAGTTCCCGGTGGGTTTCGGAGCACCTGTTATGTCAAGGCCATGTGCTGGGTCATTCTGTTTTCCCTCAGCCCCCAGGATGGCCCAAGCCCCGTGCCTGCCCTCAACTCTTCCTCTAAAGCTGGGATTGAGGCCGAGGTGGCCCACTGGGCAAACGGTGACGTTCTGTTCTCTGCCTGGTTGCCCTTCTCTGTTGTGCTGCAGAGGAGACCTTGCCCCCCTACAGCCGACCAAGCTTCCTATCCCGGAGCCAGGCCACCAGCACCTGCTCCACAGCGGGCAGCAACTCTTCCAGAGGCTCCAGCAGCTCTCGAGGCTCCCGGGGCCCTGCACGGAGCCGGAGCCGGAGCCGGAGCCAAAGGCCAGGACAGAAACGTGGAGAGGTGGGGGCTAGGGCATGCAAACAAGGGGAGTAGGAGGCTAGGAGGGCTGAGCCAAGGAGCGCTGAAAACAGGAGGGAGAGAAGGGCTTTCTGAGCTCTGAGCAAAAGGAGGGGACCCAGGGAGTGAGGCGGGAGGGAGGAATCCTGGAGAACAGGTGACAAAGGCTGAAGACAAGGTCATACGTAGAGGAGCCTGGGCTCCCCAGAGGAGAGTGGGTTCAGGAGAAGGGCTGAGGAAGAGAAGAGGCATGACGCCTCCTATGGCCCGCTTGCCCCGGCCTGGGGCCTTGCGAACCAGCCTCTTTCTCTCTCTAGGAACCAAGATGACCCTTGAGGAGGATATCAGGAATTCCATGGGGAAGGGCTTGTCCCGGGGCTGGGAGCTCTGGATGGGAACCCCTCCTTCTGGTTAATGGGGGTGAGCAGAGAGGAGCGGGGGAGGGGGGTGGTCTCGTCCCCCCTGGCAGTGATGCTCAGAAGCCAGAGAGCGAGCTCTTCCCTTTCTATCTCTTTCCACCTGAACCTCATTTGTAAAAGAGACAATAAAAAGAGTCTGATGGGCGCCTGGGTGGCTCAGTCGTTAAGCGTCTGCCTTCGGCTCAGGTCATGATCCCAGGGTCCTGGTATCGAGTCCCACATTGGGCTCCCTGCTTGGCAGGAAGCCTGCTTCTCCCTCTCCCACTCCCCCTGCTTGTGTTCCCTCTCTCACTGTGTCTCTCTCTGTCAAATAAATAAATAAAATTAAAAAAAAAAAAAGTTTAAAAAGAGTCGATGGGAGCCCTGGACCCTGCTTGTCTGGTTTTATGCAGGATGTGGGAAAGAAAGGGGCTGCAAAAGAGTGTAGATCAAGGCACTCAGAGAAGCCTCCACTTCCTTTCGAACTTCCATCAAAAGCATTAGACGAGGACAGGGTCCTGTCCTGCCTCTTGAAGGAGCTAAAGCCCACTCCCCAGTTAAAACCAGAGGGACTTTCCAAATAACCAACAATGAGAAATTTGTCCACCTTCAGACAACCAAGCCAGGCCCTCCCTAGGTGCCCTCCTCCAGGGTCTATCTACTCTCCTGTAAGGAAATATGCCCCTCACAATAATAATTTTTTTTTAAACTCAAACAGGGCACCTGGGTGGCTCAGGCCGTTAAGCATCTGACTCTTGAGTTCGGCTCAGGTCAAGATCTTAGGGTTGTGAGATGGAGCCCCTCATCAGGCTCCGCGCTCAGCACAGAGTCTGCTTGTCCCTCTCCCTCTCCCGCTCCCTCTGCCCCCTCCAGCCCTTCCCCCCACCCTACCACTCTCTCTTTAAAATAAATTTAAAAAATCTGTAAACAATTTCTTAAAATAAACAAAGTAAAACTTGAGGAATGAGGTTGATGGGGGAAACCCCAGCCAAAAAGGAAAAACAGGCTTTTTTCAGATTCCCTGACCCCCTCACAGAGGGTGTGTGCACAGGAATACCTCTTGGCCAGGGCTAGGCCCGGATGTGATTGGTTTGGCTGGCATAGAATTTTTTGAAATTTTGGCCCTGAATGCGCACTGCTCCGTCCCCCACAGCCCATGCCACCGAATGGTTTTCTGAGCTTTGTTTCCTTCTGACTTCTTCACCCCCAGGCTCAGTAACTGCCCTGGGCTCTCAGGGGACGGCCACTGCCCCCACCCCCACCCCCAAGCCCAGGCTCTGACCTCTCCTGCCACTGTGACCTAAGTGTGCACAAATCCCTTTTTCTCCATTGGTCTGGCAAACAGGGTTGGAATGTTTTCAAAAGGAATTTTACCAGGAAGCTAAAAGTAAAACAAAATCCAAAAAAGGAAAAGCAAATAGAGAGGAACAGATATGTATCCGGAGCACTGATTTCTCATCCTGAGACTTAGACACTCCAGCCCAGACTGGTAGTTCAGGCAGCACCGTGTCCCCCAGGCCCTGCCTCACTCGGCCTGTGAGTTCAGAGTGGCCTCTAGGTAGAGTGGCTTAGGTTTGGGGGGTTATCACCCCCTTTCAGGGCCTGCTTCCTAATCGGCCCTCTCTAAAGGCATCCTCCTGTGGCCCCTGGTCCTGCTCAGGAGCACCGTTGCCCCCAACTTGTGTGTTCTGCCCCTGCCTTTCCCGCCACGTTAGAAGGACAGGGCCCTTCCGGAACTTTCTGTGGCTCTGACCCTGGCAGTCCGGCTCCATTTCTCTGTTCTGTTGTTTTGTCTGAAGGGTGTTCACTAGCCAACCATTACAGGTGGTTCTACCTTTTGGGGAATTAAGCTACTTCGTCTATTTTAAGAAACCCTCTGGTCTTAACCATCTGGGACTAGTCTCTGGGGAGGGGGGCTGGGACCCCTGAAAGCAGGAGTTGTTTTCCTAGGACAAGTTGCGAAGACCAGCCGACCAGAAGAATCCGAAGGACGCATGTAATTCTTCTCTCAATCACAGAACAGAACTAAGTGACTCTCCCTGAGTGCCAACGAGTGCCTGAACCCTTTGGAACTCAGAATTCTTCCCATATCTCCGGGTATCCTCCCCAAAATGGTGCTCTGGGGAATGACCTCACCGCACTCAAGTCGTGACAGTTTTATGGTATCAATTCCTTAAGCTCATAGAGTCCACAGTATGAGGAGGGGGTTTTGTCCTCCATTTTCCCACCTCCCTTCCTTCACAGCTCCCTCCCTGGATCCATGCTGGCCCCTCTGCCTTGGTAGCAAGGAAGGGCCTCACCGCTTCAGGGCTGGTCGGTGGGTCCTCCTTTCTTCCTCTCCCGGGTGTGGCTGCGGAGAGGTGAGCCTGCCCCTGTGGGAATGAATGGTCCCCTCCCGAGAGGGGTGGCTCTGTAAAGCTCCTTCCCTTACCGCCTGTCCCACAAGCTGTTGCTGTCCTCTGGGAAGACCTCTGGCTCCCCCACTTCCCGTGATCCAAGTGGGTGGGGAGATCGGGAGATAAGGCTGCTTCTCAGGCCAGAAGACCTGGCTGTGGGATGGATGGAAGGAGGAGAAAGCAAGGGCGAGGAGTCAGGCTGGGATGGCTTTTTGCTCCCTGAGGGCTCCAGGTCTACTTTGTGCTTATTTTGTTGCGCTTTCATCTGTTTTCACAATCCCGGAAGGACGAGAGCTCTCCGGGAGTCCGGACAAGGTGGTCCCCCAGCTGCAGAGAAGTGCAGGCCAAGACTGACACTCCACAGGGGGGTGGTTTGATTCTCTTCTTGGCAGTCTTGGGCACACTTCATGAGGAATCTGCAGGGGAAGTCGAAGGAGAGTGGAGTTACCCTGCTGCTCCCCCTCTCCTGCCCAACCCCAGGGCTCCTCCTGGCTCCTCCCCAGAATCCCTCAGCCAGGGTCACCATGTCAGCTCGGAAGACAGACACTTACTGCCAGCCTTGGGCTCAGGACGGCCGAGCTGACTTCTTCGGGAAGAGATCCGAGAGTCGGGGGGCCAGGGGGGCAGCCCCCTTCCCAGCCGCTGGCTGTGGTGGTCCTCCATGTCCTCCAGCCAGTCTGACCTCCACTCCCACAGGGGCAGGGAGAGGGCAGAGGTCAGGAAGAGGTCATCCCGGGGGGAGGGAGGTGAGGAGGCATCTGTCAGGGAGGGTAGAGTTATTTGTAGAGGGCTGACCTTCACTCTGAGGGACCAGTTTAGGGCAGAATGCTTAGGGCCTGCTTAAAGCACACACCCAACCCGAAAGATAACTTAGCCCCAACTCAGCCCATCAATTCTGGCAGCCATTGGAATGAGTCCATTGGTTTCTTTAGAGAGAATAGCTTGAGCTGTTTCCTCCTAGCCCAGCTCTGGCCTTCTATCCATACTCTCACCCTTCACTGCACTCCCCCTCCCTGGGCATCCTTCTCCCTCCGTTATGGGCACTTCTGTCCTGGATAATCCTTGCTTTCCCATTTACAAGCCTGGTTGTTTTTCTTGGAGGCAAAGGGTAGAGTTAGGGTTCATAAGATGGGGAGAGGGGGTCTGACAGAGTATATGAGGAAGTGGGGGCGCCTGGGTGGCTCAGTCAGTTAAGTGTCTGCCTTTGGCTCAGGTCATGATCCCGGGGTCCTGGGATCAAGCCCCACATCAGGCTCCTTGCTCAGCGGGGAGCCTGCTTCTCCCTCTGTCTCTGCC